GTCTTCATGTCCCCTATTGGACAGCAAGCAGTTAAAATAAGTTGTCGTTTCTTTTTCATTTTAGCTGGAAACACGATGTTTCGGACACCTCATTATTACCTTCAATTCATTGTTTTAAATGGAGGTGGAATCAGTTGCTCACTTGTGAAATATTTTAGCATGAATCAACTTAAAATAGACATATATGCATGTAGATAAGGTGAAAATAAGGATGAATGCATACTTTATTCCTAAAGTGACTGGTTGAATTTCCCATTAAGTGTGGACATGATCAGCATGTTATTTATTTTCTTATACCAATGATTAGCGAGTATGAATTATATGAAAACTAGAAGAATTTGGTACATTAATTTGTGTTTCTGAAATCAGTACATGGGTTTTTGGAGGCTTAAACGGATTAAAGCAGTCCCAGGACTGATGTGCTTTGGCTCCAAAAATCCTCAAAAATTTACAGCCGAATACATAATGTGAGACTTTATGATCAAATGAAACAATGATCCAGTTTTTTGGCTTCGATTTGAAGGAGTAAACGTAATACATCCAAGTCCAGGTGCCAATTGTTGATGATCGTGGAGCCAGCAGGGCTCCAGAGTTTTGCTGCTGCCAGCGGAAAACAAACCGGGGAGAAAATAATGAACTCTTTAACTTATTTTGACTTTTTCAGCACAACTTTGAAAACAATTGGCAAGACTACATTTGGAAGGGAATGGAAGTCAGAACAGGGTAATAATCCTGAACGCAGACAGGATCAAAAAATCAACTATTTTCTGCTTTTATTTGAATATATATTTACAACCAAGTAACATTCTGTAATACTTTTATTGTAATTACTGAGCGCGATTCTCTAGATGAAACGATATCCAGCCGAGTAACCAACCAACGGACATGTCTCTGGCTTTTAAAGTCCTCTGAGAGGTGTTTGAATTTTTGGCAGAGCCATCCTCTCGTCATCTTTCAGCACCTCCTAAAATGGAGGGAGAACAGTCCAGCGTGAGGGTCCGAGGCCTGCCGGTGATTCAACGTGTGTGTGTGTGTGTGTGTGTGTGTGTCCAGATAAAGTACCATGAAGAATTTGAGAAGAGCAAGGTTCGAAGTGATGCCCCTCCTCCAGAAAATCGACAAGGTGGGGAACATCTATACATGTGGACTTGACGTGGTTCTATTTATTTAATAATAAAGTCTATTTTGCATATGGGAGTTAATTTGATGTGTGTTTGTGTGGCAACTTAGATGAGCAACCAGCGAACCCTGAAAGATGCATTCAGCCTGCTGGACAAGTGCTGCCCGCTACAGTAGCACCACCTGGTGGAGGGGTAAGGCTACTACAATAACACAATGATATGTGTAAGAATACAGCATGGCTACTCTTAGGAACTTCATTTTCAACAGGATATATGTTAAAAACTTTAAAAGGAAGGCCTCCCAAAAGTCAGTTTTCAGCCAATCCACACTCTTCCAGACGAAACTGTCACTTCCAGTTCAGAAGAAACGAATGACAGTGTTCTTTAAACTACATAAAAGAGCTGGTAGATTAGCCTTCATTTTTCTGCAAAACCTCTCAATTTAAACAGGCTGCAGTTTTAATCTAATTCAAACACAAGAACATGAGTTGGGAAACAGAGTTTTGCTCAGGTGTCCTGCAGTTTTTCATTTTCTGTTGTAGATATGGAACATTTAGTCCAAATTCTACAAAGTAGGATCAGGCCAAATAATGAAAGTGTGAAAGAGAAGCAGCATCTTTGGGAAATGAATGGGAAATGGGGAAAATTTAACAGCCTGATAAGTTCGTAATCTGCCCAGAAATAGCCACAAACAAACAGGAAAAAAAAGGAGTGTCTGCTTCTCCATTTGTGTACAGAACATGGGTGTGTGTTTTGCCCTGAAGGGATGTTTAAAGCGAACCCATTTGGCTTCTTCCTGCTCCTTACGTTGTGTTGTACATGTGATTTCCCCTGTGTGCGTGTCCGCTCCCTCAGAGGCGCTTCCAGGCCCTGTACAGCTACACGGCAACCGAGGCGGATGAGGTTTCTCTGCAGGAGGGAGATCTCATCCTGGACGTGGAGCCCATAGACGAGGGATGGATGTTCGGATGCAACCAGCGCACGGGACAGAAGGGAATGCTCCCGGCAAACTACGTCAGACCCGTTTGAAAGAAAGCAAGAGATGCCAAACAGACATTAGAAGCTCCTCCTGCCAAGCGACACTGCCGTCTTCATCATCATCATCATCATCCTCTGCAACTGGGTTTAATTATCACAATGCACCAAAAATAAAAGTTAACCAAAAAGTAAATAAAATTCAGAGGATGTTAAAAAATTTTTTTTTATAAATTCTAAAGTACAAAGTATGTACATTTTTGCAAACTGGGCTTTAAATTCGATAGCAAATAAACTGTTAATTATGTTTCATGCTGGGGGACAATTTTGAATTTTGGAAAATAAATGGAAATCAAAAACATTTACAAACACCTTTATTTTAAAAAACAAACAACATGGAAAGCAGGTTAAATCACAAAATAGACTAAAACTTAACCTAATCTACAAAAGTGAATAAAAAACAGACTTTATTTACAAATGATGTTCAAGTTAAAATGATTTAGATTTAGCACCGACTCTTTTAAAGATATAACGAACAAGTATTCAGTAACCCCAAAAATCAGCAACTGGCTGTGGAAAGCGTCCATCATGCCGTAGCGACCCGTCTCATGGCAGAAAAGAAGGCCGCTCTCTTGTTGATTTTGTTGCGCAGCTTTGACGGAAGCCAGTCCAGCTGCTGCCTGAAGACGTCGGGGTTTCCTCCAATGAAATTCTCACACAGCCTGAAAACAGACAAACGCCCGGCTATTTAAATAAATAAAAAAAAATTAAAAATGTATAGACCTATCTTAGCCTCAGATACACATTACTCCGCTCAGTTCCTGCCATCATTTGTAGGGTCAACCTTTGAGGTTCACTTGCAAAAAAATTCTGCTTATTAAAATTAATCATTTTTGCCATTTGAACCATGTTTTTGCTGATCTTAGTAGCAACATTTCATCAGTAACAAAAGTTCTGAGCCATGAGAGCAAACCAAACCGACGGTGGCTCCATGTTACAGGCTCATTTGTCACTTATTTTGGTTCAGTACTAAAATCCAATTCCAAAGCCATCCTTTTCACATTTCAGGGAACCTTTCAACTATCCATATAAAGTGCACCAGCACATGGGGCCCAACAGGGAGCAGATCCGATCAGTGTGGAGTAAAAGAAGCCAGGGGTCAAACATCTCCAATGAGAAGTGCACATGACCAGCAGAGACGCCACATCGTGTTCACGCCCAGACCGCCGTGGGCTGTTCATACCTGAAGAGGGAGTACGGCTGGGTCTGAAAGATGAGAACGTCGCTGCAGTGGTTTTGCGATGGAGCCCTCAGAACAGCCACCTGCTCACAGGAGGAAACACACATCAGCCCCACATTTCCAGGAATTCTGCTTCGGAACCATTTTAAAAACACATTATTGGGAAAAATTCAGATACTTTTACACAGGCTTCTTACAGCATAGAATTAAAATGAAGAAAAACTCCCAATTTCATACCACTTTCTTAAAAAAACAAAAACAAAAAAAAAACCCAGACATTTTAGAATTAACTGACAAATCTTGATTTTTCAAATGGGCTTGCATTAATCTTGTTTACATTATATTTATGATATTTTAAAAATCAACTACATCCGATCAAACTTATGCAAAAGCCCCTGATAATAAAGAAGCTGTTGTTTTCGTGTGACATCATTACCACATGGTGCAGGTGTACCTCATAGCCCAAGTCTTTAAACCACTTAAGCCGAGGAATTACGTAACGGTTTTAATCACTGAGCTATAATTGGTTCACTCGGCAAACGTCCTTACAGAAGTAATGAGGTTTAAAGGTATACTTAAAAGGATCAACTGTAACGCTGCACTCTGCTGCTCAGGTCCTCTGCACAACACCGAGTTTGTAACAGGAAGTAGTTTCCATCACATACCGAGTCCACAAGGATGCAGAGGTTGCTGCTTCCCCCAAACACCACAACGTCGCCATCGGCTCCCAGACACGCCGTGTGACAGACTCTGAGGGAAGAGCAACGATTTTAGTTTAAAGAAAACACCCAAAAACAAACACAACCCAACACAGATGAGCGTTTTTCTGGTTGCCTGCAGATTCTGTGCCGGACGGTACCGGAGGAAACCACTGACCTGGGCTTGTCTTTGTGCCGGTGCGCCACTTGGCTCCACTCTCTTTTCGCCGTGTTAAACTGCCAGGCGTCATCTAAAAAAAAAAAAATCGTGCAGATAACAAAAAGGTCTTTCCCCTCGCAGTTTCGCGAGTCGTGCTCTTTGGGGACGCGGGCTTACTGAGAGTGTTTCCGTCGGTGCCCAGGCCGCCGTAGACGAACAGCATGTGCTCCGATATGGCCGTCATGGTGTGCATGGAGCGCCCGAGGGGGGCACAGAGGGGGGGGGTTTCACTGTGGTGGAAACAGAACAATGAGGCCGGGCTTTGTAACACAAAAAGTTGGAAACACAAAAAGTTAAGTGTGTTTGAAACAAAAAGGACAGGGCAAGGAGGAAGTTTTACAGATGAGTCCAGGTCCAGGTCTGGAGGTCCAGGCAGAAAATGTCCAGCTCGGCCGTTTCCTTTAAACAAAACCCAGAGGAAAAAGGAGCTCTGAGAGTTTGTTTGCATGTAGGCTGCAAGGGCAGTAAACAAGGGGCCGAACGGGTGGGATTATCAGCACTTGTGCAACAACTGGTCAGCATCAAAAGTCGCTAGGATCCCCAATCTGTGCCCCCTCCACCTAGTAAGGAATAAGGTGGAGGTGAGGAGGTGGAGGGAACTGTGCAGCACAGATGAGCTCCAACTTGGGGGCACAACAGGAAAGGGATGTTGAAACAGGAAAGGGCCTTCCCCAAACCATCACCGCAAAGTGGGCTGTCATCATGCATCTGGCCTCTTATAGCCATTTAGGGTTGATCGGTTGCTCACCACGCCGCCAGTGACGTATCCTTTGTTCCCCAGCAGGGCACTGGCATGGCAGCCTCTGGGAGCCGGAGCGGGACCCTGATCGGACATAGAAAGATTCAGTCAGCCCAGATCTAAAGCCACTGGGCTAAACCCCGTACCCCTGACCCAGCCCCCACAAGCCAACATGACCCTAAAGTGTTGGCCCACTGGAGAACCCAGTGAAAGAGGCTAGTCTTATCGGGAGATAGTGTTCTAATGGCTGCGTGTGTGTGGTCCGCAACATTCTTATCTGACAGATATCCACACAAGAAGCAAAGCTTTAATTTAGTGCATCTCCTGTTCTAAACTGTTCTTGATCATCATGATCTAAAAGAAAAAATATATATAGTATAACCCCTGAACATTTGAGGCCTTCATTAGATCTGTGTAACATGATTCATTTAAAGTATCTCTGCACTTCTGAGTGAAGTGGCCGTGATTTGTTGGATCAGGTTTGTGAAAAGGAACAACTAAATCCCACACCCCTGACCCAGCAGAGGGGGACGACAGCTGAATCAAGTTACGGGTAAAATCCGGGGGATGTTCTACACACCTGAGTGGCTGGCGTGCTCCAGGCAGCAGAGTGTGTGTCAAACACACGGACCTCGTTGTTCCAGCCCCAGCACCTGAACAAAGTGTCTCCAATGGTCGTCTTTTAAAAAAAAGATTTGAATAAGTACATTTTTTAAAAATAGGTTAAGATGAAAAATAAACTGACTAATCAAATCTTGAGCTTTGCTTTTACCCAAGACATCTCTTCCACAACGAAGTTGGATGAAGACGTGTTCCGCACCTCCCCGATGGTTTTGCATCCGTAGCCGCCAAAATAGATCAACCTGCAGGAGAGACAGCAGCTCTTTAAACTAAAGACAGCTGGAGGGGGGTGTTAAAAACCTAAAAAAAAAGGCTTTACAACTTCTAACAAACGTGATTAAAGCCGTGCAGAGGCTGCCGGCCTGTGGCGGGTCCTCGAGCGGGGGGGGGGGGGTCACCGACCTGTCCCGGTGCACCCAGCAGGAGTGTTTGCTCCGGGGGGAGGGCGTGGCTCCTTTGGTGTCGGTCACTCTCCTCCAGGACGGGCGGGGCTCAGACACGTCCACGCTGAACATCTGCACGCACACACATCCACAACCAGCGTGACTTTTCCCTGCAGGGTTATGGTTTAAAACCGGTCTCTGCACAAGTCCAGAGCCCCTCTGGGAGGGTGGGGGTGTTAGGGCCCAGTGTCCAGACTCTGGTATGAGCCCTGATCAAACAGGCGCATCTCTGCACTCCAAACACTGGGCTTGTCATAACGTGCAGGAAAAACTGAGCTCGGAAACAGCGGTGTCAAAAACACGAGTTTGGATCAAACTCACGGGGATTCTTTTTCCAAACACGGTAACCCGGCAGCTTTTGTGTCGGCACATTCATCTCAGATAACGGTGCTCCTTTATGTCCGTTTTACCAAAACAAAAAGCGCCAGCAGGTTCTGGGAAAAATGAGAAACCGCCACATCTATATGCCAGAAGGGGGTCAGGGGGACATCCTAATTCGTGCCTCAGAGCAAATGTGATACTCCAGTTACAGAGCCCATATCCTGAGAGAGATATAAAGCCAAATTAATTAAATAAATAAGGTATTCCTTGTACTCTACTCGTCTCCTCCCAGTAATATTTACACTTCTATATCCCAGTTGTTCATCTCATAACCGAAACTATGACAATGAAGGCCATTCATTTTATTTAAATGATGTTATCAATACGCCTCAGATATACTGTTGAAAATACTGTTGAAAAATCATTTCTTCAGCTTTTTTCTTTGACCCAGTCCCCGTTTACTCTCATGGCCTGTCTAATCAGTCCTTTTGAGCATCATGACCTCCGGAGCATTCAGATGGCCTCTAAATGAAAAAGGGCACCTTATCTCTGCAAAACAGAGGGATGGCACTGGGAGGCAAGGGTTACTGGGCCTTGATCTTGTAGCTACTTGTATTTTAAGATTTTGCAAGTGGCAGCAGATCAAAAAGAGAAATTTCTCACAGCACACGTTTGTTCCAGAGGCACACTGGTCATTTCTCAGTTTTAAAGGAGTAACTTGTCCACAACAGCCCACCTGGTTTGAGTATTCAGAAGGGTCACATCCTCCAAATATGTACAGCTTGCTGTTAATATTGGATCCGCAGAAGCCCGACAGGTCTGGAGGGATGTCGCCCGAGATCTCCCTCCGCTCCCTGTGTCTCAAAAACAGTCCCAAACAAACACACAAACAAAGAGTGGAAGAGTTGTAAACAATGAGTAATTATTAGGGATAGTTTCTGCAAGATCAGAGCTGTTTTCACTTTAAACGTATAGCTTATCTGCATTTCTCAAACCAGCTCCTCCTACATTTTTCATCAAACCTACGCAGTCACTGTATCTTTGCCACATTTTTTTTTAACAATTAATCAAAATAGACAATGGCACGCAGGGCCTGCAGTGTCAGGCTGACACGGAGTTCATCTCTGCTGATAAACAGCTCAGTAGCTCACCACGTCCCACTGTCCAAATCACAGAGCCACATCTCATCAGTGCGCAGCACGACATCCTGTCCAGCAACTACCTGCAAAGAAAAAGACCAGATAAGACAAAAAACCAGTGCGTCTAACCACAGACTTGTGCGTGGACTTTGGTGGCTTAGAAACACAAATCTGCATAAGCAGTGTTAACATTCTTGAGTGAGTGCAAAACAGAATGTTATCCAGAAGTGGACACAAAAGGGAACAAGGGTGGGTTTTACCTCATTTCAATTGTTCATTTGTACATTCGGATCTATATTTTTAAAGATTGTTCATTTGTACATTCAGATCTATATTTTTAAAGATTGTATTTTTCAGTTTTATCATTTCTGTCCTATATTCTTATTTCTACATTTTATTTCTTGCTTCTCATAGAAGTTTTGTGCACCAAACACCAAGGCAAATTACTTGCAAGTCTAAAAACCTTCTTCGCAACAAACCTTATTCTGATTCTGATTAAAACAGTGTTTTTAAATCCCTTATTATTCAGAGGGTTTCTCAGAAAGACGCCAGTAGATAAAAGATAAAAAAGGGTGGCAGATTAATAAGCTGCAGCTTTAGTTTAAACGGAAACATCCAAATATGTGACAGAGTACATCTGCTTGGTTTGGATTCTACTCATCGTGGACCTTCGCTTGGCGTCTTTCCAGGGAAACCCAAAAGCGCTCCACTTTGTTTCCAGTCTCCTCTGAGATCTCCCGGCCTCACCTGGTAACCTCCCCACACCCACAGCGTGTTGTTGTCCACGAAGGCCGTGTGGCTGCTCCTCCGGAGCCGGTGCTCCGCCGCCGGGGCCGCGTCCATGCCGCGTCCGCGCTCTGCGTTCCGGCCCGGCTACCGCAGGGGGGCCGACTGGATCTGGGACTGGGAGGCTCACAAACGGGTTTTTCAGGCAGCTGGCCCCTTTCTTACTCCTCCCATCAGCTAGAGATCACCTCTGCGTGCCTCTGACGGGAGGGGGGGTGGACTTGTATTAATTCAGGATTAGGTGTTTAAACCATGTCTGCGCACCGCAGCCGCTTGGAAACTTTACGCGCATGGATTGTTTTGTTTTTTTACCATTGACTGCTACCTACAATACTTACCTATAGTTTATTTCTGACACAGTTTATCAGATTCGGACTAATTTGCGTCTCAAATGTCGTCACGGCCCCAGGTGAAGCCAGTTGCAGAGATGATGACTCTGTTTGACTCACTGGCGTTCCGGACAGTACAATCAGCAGATCATGTGACAGCTTTAGATCCAGTTCACACCCTGAAAAGCAGCCCCTTCCACATTTTCCAGCTCCTCAGGTTGGCCCCTTCTGGTTGGAGGTAAAACTCAGTTCAAAGTTACAATAAATTGGAAGATGTTTTAATCCAATACTTTTTTTTGTATTCATCTATTGGTAAAATGCTAATATGGACATGTTAAAGGACAAAACTGGATAAAAGCCAACATTTTTATTTATTATTATGTAGAAAACTAGATACATTTAAGATTAAAGGGAGAAAAAACTTCCTCAGTCTATTCTAAACGAGCTTTGGCCCAGAGAAGAGGCTCTTTTTCTGGGTTTTGTTCACATTTTGTTGCAATGTCACAGCTGCATGACGCTGGACCTCAATTTAAAAGTTATTTGGTACATCTCATTGATTTTTTGCCACATTTCCCTTTGCAGTAACCTTGTTTCAGTCTCCTGTCAGACTCTTTTTTTTTTTCTTTTTTCTAATTTTTTTTGCATGTTCCTCAGCTACATGTGGGAACATTTTCATAGCAGATGCCAAAAACAGGCATTGCAATTCAGACTCAAAGGCCCAAGTTAATAAGTAGAAAAGGCATCTCATCAAAACCACAAAAAGGACCAATTCAACACGCTGATTTTTATTTCAGTATGGCCATTTCTATTGGATAGGATTCAATAAATACACACCAGAAAAATAGTACTGAAGAACTCAGAATGTTCCTTTTTTGCATGATACTCTGTGCATACATATCAAAACCATTTTGACAAATAAACATTTAATGATGTTCTTGGCAGGTGCAAGAAAGAATAAATGTTCTGATTATTCTGCTCCCCAAAGTCATGAAAGTCAACAATTTTGAGATTCTTTCAATAAAACACCACAAATAAACATTGTTAGATTAGAAATCACTTCATGTGTGAGATACCAGCTAAATTAGAGCTGAAATATCCATTAACAGTCGTAGCTAAGTGCAAAAGAGCAAAACGTTCTTAGGTCAGATTCATCCCAACCCAATAATTTAGCCCAAGTCTTAATGCATTTGTTGTGTAGCTTGTTGTCTAATAATTGTTTCGGTGTGTCTCTGCACACAAGCAGCATCATAAATCATTTCTAAAAGCTCCTCTGAAAGTCGAAGAGAACAGAGCTGTGTAATTCAAATCACAGATTTGGCCTCTTCGTCTGTTTGAAAAAAGAAAAAAAAAACTCCAAAGTTTTAATATTTACATCTTTAAAAAACCCCAATGCATCAGTGTTGCTTCATTTTATGGTAAGGAGTATTCAAAATAAACGTGATGCATTTTTTGCCCAAATATCATGAGAAAATGGTGTAAAGCCTAAATCATAAAGAAGGCACAGATGATCAGATCATTTCTGCTTGTCAGGTAAACTTGTCGGTTAAGAATATTGTTTTTGACAGGAGTGAAAAAAAGAAAAAAAGTACAAATGTGCTGGAAACCATTCTTGGCAGCAGCCGTCTCCACTGCCCCGCCCCCCCGGTGACCCAGAGGTATCAGGATGACTGGTCAGTAACATTTGGCTGCAGTGTGTCAGTGTGTTTGTCTGAATCAGACCGGCGCACAGAGGCTCTCTGCCCCCTTTTTGAAGTCCGTCCGGGCCGGTCAGCCGCAATCTTAATTGCACTTGAGGTTACTTAATGAATAAGCGGTTGTCTGTTAAACTCGTCCCTCCGTGGGTGCTGGGGGGGCTCAGTCCTGCAGGTCTCTCTCCAGATACTTCCTCATGCGCTGACAGCGAGGGCACGACTGCACCGAGGAGTTGCAGGCCAGGTGGAAAACAGCTTTGCAGTCTTTACACCTGGTGGGAGACAGAAGAACCGTTTGCTGAGGCTGGATGAGGATGAGGAGGAGGAGGAGGAGGAGGTGGTGGGTGGGCCGGCGCTAGCCCACCTGGTGGTGCAGTCGAACTGGAAGGGGAAAATGATGTCGTCCGAGTGGCAAATCTGGCAGATGAAGCCCCGCTGGGTGCACAGGTCGCAGTGCAGCACGTGGTCAGAGGCGTGCTGCACCAGGCCGATCAGGAAGGCCGCATATTGGCCCTCTGCTATCTGCAAATAAACACAAAAAAAAAGCGGAACGGGGTGAGGCGTGTCCGGGTGGGGGCCGTGCTCTGCAGCCTGCCGCGGCCTGAGGGGATACCTGTCGCAGGTCCAGGATGCTGTACAGGTGGCTGGACTCCAGCAGGTACAGCCGCTGCCCCATCCTACACGCAGGAGACCAGGAGAGTTAGACATTTAAAAACCTCCCTGTGGGGGGGAAACTCTCTTCGGGGCCACGGCGGCGCACCTGGCCTGCAGCTTCCTGACGGCGCCGCTGCGGCAGGTGAGCAGGTAGTCGCCCAGCAGGCGCAGCCTCTGCCGCAGGCCGTGGGCCCGGGCCAGGGGCTCCGCGTGCTTCACCAGCTCCGGGTTCAGCGCCTCCAGGTTGAGCAGGGGCTCCTGCTCCACTTTCGCCAGCAGGCGCACGGCTCGCTTTGACACCTGTTGTGAGATTTGAGAACACACACGAGGCAACCGTTCGGACATGTTGGCGCCCAAGAGACGGCAAATGCAGGAAATCGTCATCCCGTTAAAGAATGCGTTGGATTGTTGGATTGTTGCTTTCTTCTGGGGCTCTTTAGACTGCCCAGATGCTGAGTTCTGACTTTAGAAAAGCATTTCTACACACTAACTGTTAGATCAGCCTCTAAAATCCATTTCCATTCATCATAAGCAGATATCGGATATCCTTTCACTATAAACAAGATTGTTTTGACATTATAAAGATTTTTATCTTCAACATAGTGACTGTATAAATCCAGTATATGACCCACATAAAATAGAGGCATTGCTCATTCTGCTTGGTGGAAAAATAAACGTATTCAATTGTGATAAATTCCTCATAAACTGGCCCGGTTTAGAGACGGATCACATTAAGCAGACCTTGAATTTGTTCAATTTTTCTGAGAACAGTGAGTTTAGAGTTTCTGAAGCACAAACGGGTAGCATTAGCTCAACCAGCGCCGCTGGGGGGTGTCGGGGTCTGCGGCTCCTCTTTGGCACTAAAGCCACTCGTACCTCTCGTTGCGTGAGGTCCCAGTTGTGCACCATGCGTGCTGGAATGATGCTGGTGTCCCCCTTGTGGCAGGACTCGCAGTAGTACAGGCCTGAGAACTCGCACAGCCTGGCTCTGCCCCGGGACGGCCCGATCTGCTGAGGGCAGTCTGCGAATGAAACGGCCAACACGTCTCAGTCCCACTCACAGGAAACCTCAACAGCAGCTGGAGTTTTGTTTCTGTTTTTGTGTCTGTGATACCAAAGTCAAGGGAACTTTTTTATATACTGACCCAAAGTCTGCATCAGTGTAATAAAGAGTTGGGGTTAGGGCAGGTGAAACCTAAAAAAAAAACAGACTCACCGGCACATTTAAAGCTCTGAGTGTCCAGCCCCCTCTCTGAGGGAACTCTGGAAAGGTGAACCAGAAGTGCCCCGTCTTCTTTTAGTCTGTGTTGGACCAGTCTGTGCAGATTTCCAGACAGGCCCGAACAGGAAACTGAAACGGGCTCCTCCGAAAGACCCTCCTCCCCACTTTCCAGGTAAGAGTCCAGAGCTCCGCGGATCAAAACCCTCCAGGTGCGGGCCTCCTCCTGGTTCTCGGCCCTGAGTCTCAGCGTCTCCCTGACAGTCAGGAGTTTGAAAAAGTCCGGACCCCCGAGGGAGACGTCGGGCACCACGTCCCGGATCTCCTCGATGGGGTGGGTCAGACGCAGCAGCTTCCTTCCCTTCTGTACCTGAAAGCCTTTCAAGGCCTCTAAAGAGAGGGAGAAGACCAAGGGGGCCCAGGTCCGGGCGTCCGGGTCTTTGGAGAAGTACAAAACTGCCTCTTTGAGAGCGTCGCTCTCCAGGTCGGCGGTCCGAGTCCAGCTGAGCTCCTGTGGGGGCGGAGCGGCCTCCTGCCCCCGGCTCGTCTCGGTGTCGGGGGCGCCCCGCTCGGGGCTGGAGGGGGCGGAGTTTGGAGGCGGCGCCGCGCGCTCGTCCACTCCGTTCTCCCCGGGGGGCTGCAGCACCTCCCACTGCTCGTCGGCGCGCGGCGCCGGCCGGCACTTGTTGACGGCCTCCGCGATTCGGTCCACCCAGTCCTCCGCTTCGTCGTGATTGGCCGCCCGCAGGTAGATCCTCTTTCCGGGGAAGGCCAGCTCGAAGCGGCCCTCCGGCGACGCCACGCGGGCGTCCTCGCAGCGCAGCAGCGAGCAGTTGTCGCAGCACGTCCTCTCCTCCGCGTTCACGTACAGCCGGAACTCGAAGGGCGAGAGCTCGCAGTAGTAGTCGCGCCACAGCCCCATGGCGCCTCGCCGCTCCAGGTGGCCAAGCTTCAGCAGGCCCCGGAAGGGGTTGGACAGCCCTGAGGGACACCAACAAAACCTCCTTCAGTTCAGCTTCGTTCTAACTACTGAACCCAATCAAACGAAGCTACAACAATTAGGCCATTTGTTACCCTTATATCATACATTTCCAGGCTCTCAGTTAATGGTTAGTGAGCCAAAGAATCCAAAAAATCAAAGACCACGTGTAATGTGGTGTGTGTCCTAACTAACCAATACCTATCTGTCTGCGATGGACCACGCTGGGAGGGGACTGAGAGGCACACAGCTCAGCCGTGGGAGCAGGAGGGGACACGTCCTCATTGTCCGGCTGCTCCTCCGGGTGAGGCTTGTAGATGTCCTCCTCTGATATCCAAGAACGGGAGTGCTGCGAAAAGAGCCAAAAAGAGACCCCGGTTGCGTTTCTGTTAAAAAGTGTGAGTGTGTTTGTGAGCCACCAGGAACCATTTTCCAGGTTTTACTGAGAGACTTGTGTTATTTTTCCATGATGATAAAGTACGTTTCCAAAACTTCACGTCAAACATCCTATTTGTCGTTTTCAGCGTTCTGCCTGTCTAATATGGATAAAATCCACCTTTGGTAAAAGTTATATTTGTGTAGCATCCCTCCAGAAGCCGTAATAAGGAACCAGATCAGAGTTTGTTTGAGTACTGATTCATTTTGTGGGATGCTGTGCTCTGCCTCACCAGTTTGACATTAGCCAACTAGGAGCAATTTGTTTACGGTTGTTTGCTTTACGATTGTACTCACTGGAAGTGCATCTGAGGAGGATTTCTTGCAGAGGATGCTGGCAGAACGCGAACCTTTAAGCTCTTGTGACTTGAACCCGTTTTCCTGTGACTTCTCTGTCCGCTGGGTTTTCTGGATGGGTTTACTGCTCTCCTCTCCGGTCACACGCGCTTCCCCCACAGACTCCCCAGCTTCGCTGCCCAGGGAGAAAATGGCTGCTTCTGGCTGTAAGTCCAAGGCACTATCCCATGCTTCTTGGGAGCATCGGTGGTCAGCTTGCTCGTCACATGATGGCAGCTCGGGGGATGATGGTGGGAGATGCGAGTGGGAATCGGGGATGTGGTCCCCGGAGTCTGGGGATGTCGGAGCAGGGCCTTGGGTTTCACTGTCCGAGCCGCTGAACGTGGCATTCTCAGACAGCTGGTCGGCTCCGGTGCTGGAGACAAACGAGTCCTCGCGCATGGAGTCCTGACTGCAGTGTCCACTCTCCCGGAAGTCCGACAGCACGCTGCAGAGAGGGCAGAAGCATCACAGGAGGTTAACGGGCACATGGACACGTTTAGATTTTAGATTTCTGGAGAAATACATCTTTTTAAAAGGAACAAAACATCAATCAATTTTGATATTGATGCTTCCATTTAGCTATATTCTCAAGTCTCCCAAATGGTCATCAGGAGCGGGAAGCCAGCAAAAGCTAAAATAAATTAAAACATCATGGATGAAAAAACTTGGATGTAAACATGTTTTTAGCATGACATTCAACAGACTAACAAAGAGCAACAATAGCAAATTTAAAGAACAAAACGTACTCTTTTTGGGGCCTCTTGGTGCCGACGGTAATACTGATGGGCAGGTCCAGGTCCCCTGATGACCACTGCTCCCCCGTCGGGCTGCGGGGTTCCTGCCCCTGCAGGAGGCTGTCGGAGCTCAGGCTGGACGACAGCTGCGAGGACCCCGTGGTGTCCAGGCTTAGATTGGACGAGTTCAGCGCCGTCCTTCCTCCCTGGAACCCGCCCGACCCCCTGGCCTGCAGCACCGGGCACCCTCTCTGCACGTCCGGTGCGTCCGAGGAGCCGGACGACTGGGACACCGTGTCCCAGGACTCCTTCCGCGTGGGCCTGGAGACGGGAAGGTCGCCGCCATTGAGCGGGCAGTCGGGCGCGTCCGCCTGGGTCAGGGGGCAGAGTCCGGCCAGGGCCAAAGGCGTGGTGGTCCACTCGTTGAGGACGGCCGACTTGTAGGAGAGGCTGAAGGTGAGCGAGGCCAGGCCCTGCAGGTAGCTGAGCAGCACCTCCCGCTCCTCCGCGTTCAGCAGCAGGGCCTGGGGCTGATAGTAGGCCCGCAGCCAGGAGTCTTCGCGAAACAGCGAGGCCAGGTAGCACTCCAGGAGGCCGTGGTTGAGGGCCAGCCGCAGCCACGCTCGGCAGCGGCCCACGTCCGTGCCCACAAAGCTGATCTTCTCCAGCTCCGTGATCACGTCCCTGTGGAGTCAGAAGCAGGTTAGAGGAGCGTTTTCCCCCCATATCTGAACCCAGAGGCCATCAGTCCACCACAACTTGTAGGAAATTGTACATTTCTAATAAATTTGACTCATTGTCCTACTGTCTTGTTGAACTTACCGATGGGTGACAGTCTTGAGGAGGCTCCAGAAGAAAGGCTGAGGGAGCGGTCCCCTGTCTGCTTTCCTGCTCCGGCCTCCAGCTTCAGAGCGGATGTACTTGCTCTTGATCCCCTGGATGAAGATGGCCTCCAGAGCACAGCAGAGGAGGTTTGCGTCCCCATCCTCACTGGTGACTACAGCGTCCGACGTCACATATCGTCTCTGCAGGCCTTTCAGCGACTGGGCCAGCTTCTCTTTAATCTGCATGACCACGAGCGAATGAGGAGATATTTCAGCTTCCTTAAAGTTATGTTAGGATGTTAGAAGCACGTTTTTCGTGACATTTCCTCCATTCCAAACCCCAGCGTGATGAGGAACTGCTTGGATTGGGTAAAGGGGTTACATTCTTGTGACACACGGCCTGCAGATTACCTACTGTCACATGTCACCCACTGTCAGCTGATAAGACGAGATATAAACATATACCAGGAAAAGCAGCATTAAGCAATAGCTTAAAGGAGGAGGGGGTTAGCAATACTTTGGACTTTGAGTGAGACGGAGCCAAATTAAGACGAATTAAATTCAAAGAGCCGTCTGCTTGTCTTTCCAGCTCCCAATCACTCGGACAGGACACCAGCGGCATTTAACTATGCTCTCATTTTTGTGGTACACAAACATAAAAAACCACAGGACTGCACTCTTTTAATTTTACACTTTACGCCTTATTTCAAAAATTGTTTTATTTTGACACATTAGATCCTCATTGTGAAAAGGCACATGACATGTTGTTTATTCCCAGGCAAGATAAACAGTCATTTAAGAACACAGCACATCTTCTCCGGCTTCAGAATGATTCAATCTGCTGATTAGTTAGCTCCTCATCAGGAAAGTACGATTGTGGAGCCTCTCTTCAGATAAGACAGAAGCGTCCAATGAGAGCGACGGCTGATTTTAATGTTCCACGCGTCACAGTCAGACTTGGCACAGACATCCCATCTGTAGCACATCACACTAATTCCAATCCTCTCGCCTTAACATTTACAGGTTTCTAATGCCAAAATCAGCATTTTAAGAGGCAACAGAGGAGTTGCAAATATTCAACATACATTTTATGTACCAGCGCTTTCAGTCTGCACACTTAAATTATTACTTCTGCAGACAGTATGCAAAAGGCAGACACTTTATGGAGCTGTAGCACATCTGTATGAAGCTTTTTCATGGCAGAAAACAAATATAGAGCAGAAAAAAATCAAAGTTTAAGTGAACTTAACTTGCATTATAGTGCGCGAGCAATTCACTAAAAGTAAAGATAGGTTCCTCTTATATGTCCGGTGTGGTCACACTGATGTATCAGCCAATTAGATTAATCCTGATACCTCAACGAGATTAAACCCGTTTGAGCCTGGCTGAATGACACATATCACTGCTTAAAATATGCTTGCACTTAATCTCTAATGGGTTTTCTTTAAAGGTTTCAGTTCCATGGTTCTGTTATTTCTGCCCTTTATGTGTAAAAAAAAGTAGGTGTAAGTGTGAAGTGTGCTGTCTTGCTGCACAAGCTTATTTGATGGCAGAATAGACGGAGAACATTTTGAGGAAACATCTTTTTCCTCCTAACGTCCATACGTGAGCAAATAAACACCACTTGGCAAATTATGATCCAAACAAAAACTGGGAACTCACATAACTGGCTTGCATTTTCTCCACTTATTTATTGATATAATAAGGCAGATATAACCAGAAAATACAGAAGCTCTCTCTCTCTCTCTCTCTCCAGATGTTCTGTCCTGTTTGCAGTAAGAAACAGCCACTTCTACCAAATGCACCTTGTTGCAAAGCACCCTTTACCACCACACTCTTACAACACCATGCAGCCTCCTTCATTCGTTACAAGTCAGGTGATTTTCGCTTTTCAAAAACAAACAAAAAAGAAAACTATTAAAAAGAATTAGAGAGAAAATTCAATAAAAGCTATAGATTGCAATAACACACGACTTATTAACAAACTGGCTATAAAGTTTGCTGATCACTGCTGAGGAAAGTTAAAGCAGGAAAACTAGATCATAATATAAAGTTTAGTGAAGCTGATGCTGATAAGACTTTTTGATCTTACCTGTTTGTAATCGTTGGTCTCTGGTGGCGTTTCTGGCATCTGCGTGGCAAGCATGGCACCTTTTGGGAGGGTTTACTCCCACATGGCACACTAAAGAACAAAAGGCACCAACATTTTCACATGGGATCAAAACAACAAACAGCCCTATGGAAGAGTGAGCTTTTAAAGCTGGCCTCCTTTGACTCCACCTCTCAAATGTCATTTGCAGCTTCCTCACTTGATGTTAACAGCAAAGCAGTATATCTTTCCTCATCACGAGACTCCACACTGAGACACATTTGCCTTTTCATGGTTTGTATGAGTAACCACTTGGCAAACTGAGTCATGTGAGGCACTGATTAAAGAGGGCGTCTGCAGGGAAGTAGCTACAAATGCTTCAGAGACAACTTCCTCATCAAAATAAGCTTTGTGGATGAAAACCAGGGGTAAACTTACAGGTTTTCACCAACGATCACACACAGATCGCAGTACTTTTAATACCCTAAACACCAAACTACAAACTAATACAGGGTAAATTAAGTGTTGGCCTGAAAGTGGTCTCTTTGCATTCTGTGTGTTTAATTACAAAACCACTCAAAGTCAAACTGAAGTCGTTTCTCGTCTCTACAACCGGTGTGTAGTAGTTCCCAGTTTAAATGTTAGCTTCCAGTGTAAATACGAGTGTGTGCACTGGTGCCCAACGAATACATGACAATATTACACACAGAAAGGCAAAACAGGCTGTAAAAAAACACCACTTATATAACTCACGCCTTTAAGGATCTAAACATGACCCTTGTTGTTACCTAAAGCTTAACAGTGGTATTTACAGCTGTCCTGCACTATCATAGTGTATCAGATTGTTAGCTTACCGAAACAGGCTGGCTACCCTGTCTTCAACGTCCAAAAACAAACACGTTTGTCCGTAAATTTGTACAAATTCAGCTAATACATGTTAGTCCGTACAGTCGCTCTCCATTGTTTCTGTACCAGAAACCCCAAAGAAGAAAAAACAATGCAAAATTAGCATCAAGCGAGTCCAAGTGAAGATTGGTGCATCACGGGAAGTCCTACGGACTTTGATGCATTTACGTTCCAACTCCGGTGTAGTAAAATAGGCTCTTACATAAATTTACATCAACCGTGTTTATCAGCTGTATGTTTTTCTTTGTCTTTTGCTGCCTTTTCGTTTCTTTAGTTATTGTACAAACTGGCTTGGAAATTTCTCGATTAGCAGCATATACAAATATATATTTGTAAGGATCTAGTCGCAATTGTTTATGGTTGAAAATATAAACACTATCCATATCTCTCGTTTTTACGATTTACCACAAAAGCAGAATACGTGTGAGAATGCTACTTACGCCAAATACAAAAGCAGAAATAGAACTGTAGTGGAAGCTGGTGAAGCGGTAAATAACGTTTACGAATGAATTGAATGCAGCAGCCCTAGTTAACTGTGTTGTTGTTTCTTCATCTGGTGACACGTGAGGACTTTGTGTTCCCGGCCCATGCTCTGGGACAGGGACACAGCACAGCTCATCAAAAAAATCTTATCACGCAATCCTGAACTTCTACATGACCCCA